AGGGAATAGAATAAGGCATGCATAAAAAGAAAGAGAAAAAATAACATTTCGTGAAATTACTAATTACAAGTGCAGTAAGTACTCAGTATTTGACCCCAGATATAATGTTTATAATGACAGAGGAAAGAAATAAACTACTTCTACTTTTACCATTTGACACTAATTTCTGTTTGGTCTGTTACCCCGACCTTCAGGGCATCTCTCCTCCTCAGCAGCACATTAAGACTCTCCATCGCTCTGGTCTAAACTCTGGTCTGCCTCATGATTCACGGCACAAACCCAACCTCTGCACACGTCTCACTCACACAATCTGGGAACGGCTCCAAGAGGAAAATGAATGCCGTTTCATCAACATATTTATAACCTGGAATAGCTTTTTGTGATTTGATTACGACCTAAATTTCTACCTGTTTAAGAGAAAAAATCAAAATATATTCTAGTGATATTATTAAGCAGGCATTTAAAGTCCCACTCGGTATGAAGTTGAGCCATACTTTTTGGTAAACTAAAGATCAGTCCTGTCGATCCTGGATAAAAACTCTAAAAACGGGAGCTTGTGTATTATTGTTAGCTGTATGTGTTTAAAGTGCTTTGTGATCCTGGTCTGTGGAAGGCGCTATACAAATAAACTTGACTTACTTACTTACTACCAATAGCTCGTCGCCCTCTTCAAAGTATAGCCCCCCAAAGGATAATTTTATGGGTAAATACCAAAAAATGCAACATTTTTTCACTAATAAATTATGATGGATTGTTTTATGGATAAAAAAAATCCCCAAAAAAGATTTGTAAAAAATATTGGGCCTCATTCACGAATAACTTCGTAAGAAACTACTCAACTTTCTTCTCAAGTTGTCCTTAAGTAGATTTCTAAGAAGTCCCCACGTGGGATTCATCAACGCACTCGTAAGCCGCTGAATTGTTCGCAGCTGTTCTCTCAGATTGATGAATCCCATTTCCTCGTAAGTACAGCGCGCGTGCCAGGTGCTTCATTAGCATAGGTACTTAGCATAAGTAACCGCCCACTAATGCCCATATAAGGGACTGCAGGGCCGTGTGCAGACGGCAGAGGAAACAGCAACAGGCCTAAAGCAACTAGTTACACTTCTTTTACCAGACTGGGAATAAAGTTATAAAATGTTGACTTAAAAGTCGAAATATTATGATAATAAAGTCGAACTAGCAAAATTATGAGATTAATCTAAGAATATGATGAGATTAATCTCAAAATGTTATGAGCTTAATTTAAAAATATATTATGTATTATTTTAAAGATGAATCTCAAAATGTTTTGAGATTAATCTCAAAATATTTTGGACCCTGGGAGGAGATCCAGCGCGGACCAGCGCTGAGACCAATGCAGACCCGAGGAGAGACTGGAGTGACCAGCACACAGAAACCAGCGCGGACCTATAGGAGAGACCGCATAGACTGGAGTGACCTGACTGGAGAGACCGCATAGACTGTAGTGACCTGACTGGAGAGACCGGTGCGCAGAGACCAGCGCGGACCGAAGATAGACCGCATAGACCAGACTTGAGAGACCAGCGCGGACCCGTATGGAGAGCATGCAGCACGGACCCGTATGGAGAGAGACCAGTGCAGAGCCGTATATGGGAGAGACCAGTGCAGACCAGTATAGATCCATGGGAGAGACCAGCGCAGAGACTCAGCGCGGACCCAGTAACCTCCTGCAGCAGCAGTATATATATGCCGGTGTTCTGTGGCCCGTGGATAAAGAAATGCCCCCTATAAATAGGAAGGGGTCACTAATACACGGCAAGATTTCCAATGTATTTGATAAAGCGTTGGCACATTTCATTTCAAAATGAATTAAAAAGTAGGCCAGATCTGCAGTGAAAAAGGCGGTATATAAATAAAGATTACTAATAAAGATTACTACAAATAAATAAATACATACATCGATATGACGGACATATCACTGGAATGTTGTATTTTTATTCAACTTCACCAAAGAGGACAACCCCGGCGTGTGAACATGTCGGCACTGAATGCGTACGAGTGCTCCTGAGGACTCGTAGGATTTGTACTTGCCCAAGAGAAATTCTGGTTACGAGAAATATTCGTGAATGCCACTTTCTTCGTAAAAACCGCGTAAGTAGGATTTACGTACAAATCTGTTCCTAAGAACCGTTCGTGAATGAGGCCCATTGTTATTATTATTAAACTTTATTACAGACACAAGGTCCAGATAAGAAAGATATCAGACAAAAACAAAAATAATAAACAAAAAAGTTCTACATTTACTCAAGAACATTTTGACGGCCTTAACTCTTTAGACGCCAGCGTTTATTGAGAAATCTGTTGTGAAAAAGACAAAAGATGACACTGTGATTAAAAATAGATCGTGGACAACCTTCATCAGTGACAGAAATGTATTGAAGAAAAATATGTGAGAAAAATATCGGGAGACGTTTGTGTGAAGCCAAGTCACTGCATAGAAAGTGTCCTGGATTTAGGAGCTTGGTTAGCAATTCTGCTATTTTGGGGCCTGAAGGGTTAAAACGAGATATTCCAATTTAACAAGAAACACATTTGATACATCTGTGCTTGAAATAAGACTAAAGCTGAGGTCAAATCAAGATAAAACCGACTTAATTCAATGTCTCACTGTCTGACTCTGAAGGTAGCTCTCCCGGGGATAACCTTTGAGAAACCTTCATATTTAGGTGTAAAATGACTTAAAAAATAAGGCTCTAAAAATCATATTTACTAAAATGTGCATATGACTTAACATAACTCTCAAACCACTCACAACTAAACGATTTAGTAAAAACTATGAACTAGTTTTCACTGCCGTTTTGTCATTTTTGCATCTGTCACATTTCTTGATGGACTTTTCCAAACAAAGAGATCTCAGCCCGAAGCATCACGAGCTCTTTCCGACGAGTTTGATAAAGATACTCACAGGAACTTTATCCAATACTTACTTTTATAAGACTTTCTCCTGGATAACTTTTTATATAACATTTTCTTTTCAAATGTTTTCAGTCAGATACCCCAGCTCTAGCTTCCTCTTAATCTTTACCCCATAGAAATCCTTGTAATGATACTGATGCAATTGGTCGACAAAGACACATCCACCCATTAAGGAACGGCAAGTTTATTTTTTATAGCACAGTTCTTTCACAAGGCAACTCAAAGTGCTGAAAAAAAACAAGATAGAAACAGTCATTTAAGACATTACAATAAATAATCACAGTACATTAAAAATAATAAAGAGGAAATCCCTCAATTAAGCAGGAGACCAGTCCCTGTGCTCCTCAGAGTCCCAGCAGGAGACCAGTCCCTGTGCTCCTCAGAGTCCCAGCAGGAGACCAGTCCCTGTGCTCCTCCGAGTCCCAACATGAAGCCAGTCCCTGTGCTCCTCCGAGTCCCAACATGAAGCCAGTCCCTGTGCTCCTCAGAGTCCCAGCAGGAGACCAGTCCCTGTGCTCCTCCGAGTCCCAACATGAAGCCAGTCCCTGTGCTCCTCAGAGTCCCAGCAGGAGACCAGTCCCTGTGCTCCTCCGAGTCCCAACATGAAGCCAGTCCCTGTGCTCCTCAGAGTCCCAGCAGGAGACCAGTCCCTATGTGCTCCTCAGAGTCCCAGCAGGAGACCAGTCCCTGTGCTCCTCCGAGTCCCAACATGAAGCCAGTCCCTGTGCTCCTCCGAGTCCCAACATGAAGCCAGTCCCTGTGCTCCTCAGAGTCCCAGCAGGAGACCAGTCCCTGTGCTCCTCAGAGTCCCAGCAGGAGACCAGTCCCTGTGCTCCTCCGAGTCCCAACATGAAGCCAGTCCCTGTGCTCCTCCGAGTCCCAACATGAAGCCAGTCCCTGTGCTCCTCCGAGTCCCAACATGAAGCCAGTCCCTGTGCTCCTCAGAGTCCCAACAGGAGGCCAGTCCCTGTGCCCCTCAGAGTCCAACTCGGTTCCTATGGCACTAACATGTCTCTTCATTAATTGCCTAAACCAGTGTAGACCACCAGCCATGACCCCCCCCAGCCCCCCCCCCCACACACCTTAATTAGGGAAATGGGTCTATTCACTTCCTTTCAATCAGGAAAAACTGATCCTGATGAGTAAGGAGCAGACGGCAGCAGGAGGTGTGGAGGATGTGCTGCCATAATAGCCTTTCACTGAACTTGCATCCGCTAATTAGACATTAGACATTTCTCTGTTCTAAACATAATTGGATGGATGTCTATTGTAGATGCAGAGAAAGGCTCATTCTACAGCTTTGAATGAGCTGCGGAACACGGGAAGAAACAATTATGCTTCTATATTTATCATTTGTCATTTGAGATTTAAAAATAACTTTAAAAAACTGTTAAATATGAGGTGATAGTTGCTATAATTGAGTGTTTTTGTTAATATTATAATGGGACAAAGCCATTTAGTTTTATTTCAAGAACTGTTGCTTTGTCTTTTTCTCGTTCCAACGGAGACATTTATTGTATATTTTTCATACAAAGTTCATTTTTTCTTGTTCCATTAACAAATCTGCTCACATTAAGATATAGTTTTTACTAAATTTGAGACATTTTTTACTTATTTTTCATAACTTTTTGCTTTGTCAGTTTTGTCAAGTCGTTCCAATATTGCAATTTAACATAAAGTAACAATTTGGTAAAAAAATTGATTGGAGCGATAAAATTTTCATATATTCTACTTCCTATATTTTATTCTTAATTTGCCAACAAGCAAAAATAACACAAAGCAGAATTTACCCCATGGTAACCTCGATTACAAACACGCAACATCAAATTCAAAAGGTTATGACAAAATAAGTGTTTCTTTTTGGTTTAATGCGTTAACTAATGAATGTACCTAAGAACCCAAAGAATCAAATATGCTAATTGCCAAATTTGTTCATTGAATGCTGCTTTGTAAAAATGTGAACTTTTTATTTTATTACCCTTCCCCATTGACGATGCAACACTGACATTTCTCCGCTGTGGGACGAGTAGACGATCTCTTCTGTTTGTGTTTGTGTCCAGGCGTCTGCACTGCACCAGGAACTACATCCACATGCACCTGTTCGTGTCTTACATGCTGCGCGCCGTCAGCATCTTTGTCAAAGACATCGTCCTCTACTCGGGCTCCGCCATCGAAGACATTCACCGAGTCAGTGTGGAAGAACTCAAGTCCATCACGGAGGCGCCGCAGGCCGACAAGACGCAGTTTGTGAGTACCCAAAAACACCATTTCTCTGTGATGAATTAACCCTGCAGGCGCCGTGGTCGATTTAAGTTGAAAAGATGTGGTACTGTTTAAAATGGCCGATTGTGTCAAATAGGGCGTCAAAATTCAATCATTCTGTTGGAAAAATATTTTATCTATTCTATCTGATTTTTTTTTTTTTTTTTTTTATAATATAATTTTTAATTTTATTTTATTTATTTTATTTATTTTATTTATTTTATTTATTTTATTTATTTTATTTATTTTATTTATTTTATTTATTTTATTGTATTTTTGTTTTATTCATTTTATGTATTTTTCAGTCCATATATAATCTTTTGTAGTTTATTTCAATTGCTGTTATGTAAAGCTGGCAGACTTGTATATGTTCCTGTGTCAGTTTTATCTCTGCCACACTTTAGAAACATGTTATATAAAATACACTATATAAAGAAAGTGATTGGATTGGATGTCACGCCCACGTCCCCGGCCCCAGAAACATGTCATTCTTCTACAGAATATTTGAGCAAGATCACTCAGGGTCTCAGGGTCTCAGGGTCTCAGGGTCTCAAGGTCAAGATGGTCTTTGGGAGGTTCAAAGGATTGTAGATTTGCGGAGAACAACTCTGGAAGCCAGCTTTACACGTGAGGTCTGAGTCGCCACATTGTGCAAAAGTGAACCAGCTTTTTATCCAACTCCTCCCATAGCGTTTTTAATTTCAATCTTTTTATCAGCATTTTCTTCTTCTTTCTGCAGATTTTGAGGACAGTAAATGAAATAAAGTCAGTATTGGTCTCCCACCCTGACTTCTTATTCGATTCTAAACCCATTATTTCTAAAGAAGGAGAAAATAACACAGACAAATATGCAAACCCCATTGATTACTTTACCTCCTTGTGAGCCTAAGAAAGAGAAAACGGCATTGTAGATCACCACTGTATGATCAGTGTATGGTCGTGTGTCCTGGATCATCGCCAGGACACCCGATATTCAAGTAAGTAAGTCATGTTTATTTATATAGCGCCTTTCACACAGACCAGAGTCACAAAGCACTTTACAATGGTGGGCATTTGTTGTTCACTCCGCACAGAGATGGGAGCGAGGTCGCCAGTAGGAGGCGCACACCAGAACTATTGTACATGTTTTTAGTGGTAGGGGGAACCGGAGTACCAGGAGGAAACTCACTATGCAGACACAGGGAAAACATGAAAACTCCACTCAGAAAGGCCCTTATCTGACCGGGATTCAAGCCGTGGACCTTCTTGCTGAGCATCGAGAGTGCTATCCACTCAACCATGCCATCATTTATGTACTTTGTCAACATTTATGGACATTGGTCTCTGCCCCTTTATTGACCAACGCCTCTACGTGTTTCTTTATCACTGCATTTCTTGTGTTTGAACCTTTTGATTCTCTGATCTGTGTTGGCGAATTTAACAGTTTTGTAACGTCCCCCGAGATATCAACTGTTGTGATTTACGGCTATGCAAAAATGACTTGAATCGTAAAGAAGACAGAAGCATGCTATAAATCTAGACTTAAACTTTATCCCTAAATCTCCTTCTACCAGAGCTTGTATCACTTTTGAAACCGCTTTTTTGTGTGTCCATTTTACTCAAAGCGCCGTAACACATTTCTGCATCAACTTTAATGCTTGAGCTCGAAAAAACTCAAACCCTGTTATTTCCTTCCAGCCGTTTAAACAGAGATCCCCGGCTCAGCTCCGAACACAGATCTGCTCATGATTTGTAGTGGATTTGGCTGTCAAATGTTGAGCGCTCCCAGGAGGAAGTGGTTTTCTGTAAGTCTCACCTGCTTTTCCAGCGCAGAAGCAAATAAACCCCCCCCCCCCCCCCCCTTCTTCTTCTTCTTTACACTGTCAACGTGCCAGCCCCCTTACAAGGCGCTCTCCCCGGACTCCCTCCCTCCTCCCTCTCTCTCTCTGAGTTTTATGCACGGTTACATCCACAAGTACTTTTTGATGCCAAAGTTGCGGCCGGTGTTGACTCTTCCCATTGTGCACACAGAATGAGAGTGCCACCATAAACACGGGAGATGGCTTTGGCAGGTCACAAATGTAAATGTAATGTAAATAAAGCGCCGGTTATGCTGTGTTATTATGGTGCTGCAGGAAGAGACAGGTGCGTAGCTACGGGAGCCAAGGAAAGTAATGGGATTGGCCGCGCTAATAGGAAAAACGTGTTTGAGTGTAGTTAGAATCATGACTATTATGGCTGCGGTTACACCAGTTTGAGCCTGGATTACTTCTGATGTAGACCAGCTCGGATTTGGATTAGCACTGATCTAATGTGGTTTTAGTTCCCGTTTTAGAACTCACTTTAATTCCGAATTGGAAAGTTTTAATGAAAAGATATGTGTTTAAATTACGTCTCTTCCCCTCTTTTTCTTCCAGTGTCGTTCAGTTCGTTCTAACATTTTCCCTTTTAGCATAGTGTTAATATTATTGAACATTTAGGTTGGATATTCTAGAATTTTATTTCAGTAGGATGGTAGGTACAAAGACAATTTCCCATCACCTGTTGAAAACCCCCCAATCATTATGCATAGGTCTTTTATATTAGTTTTACCACTTCTTGACAGCTTTAGTAGTGAGTGTGTACCGGGTTCCAAGTGGACTGTTCCAGGAATTAGAGAAATTAAAGGGTTTCAAGAGAGCCATTTAAATGAGTTTGTTGCCTATTCCCTGAAAAAATACCTAAGTCGAAAATATATGGTAAACTTGAAGAGTGTTTGTCCATTAGTCCTTTTGCTACAACCAGAGGGAGGTGTATTTATTTTATAACGTTTTAATTCTACATAATTCCAGTCAATTTCAAATTTCCAAAACTAATTTATGGACAATAAAACATAGATGTAACTAATAGGACAATGACATAATACTGTTTTACTAGGCTGAGACTTGGTTGAGGAAACAGTGATGTTTAATGGTTAAACAAAAGCCAAATATGTCTTTGAATTCAGAGGTTGGTGTATGTGTGCAAGTATCCGAGTAAAGCGAAACTACACCATGTGATCAGGAGACTTTGGAACGGTGGCCCCTCACCCTTTAATGTTCACTCCTTAAAGAAAGCAAGTAAATATTTTTCTCTTTTTGCTTTTAACCCCCTTGTTTGTTTCTTGTTGTTTTTTTTTAGATTATTATCATAGGCCTTTAGCAAATGGTTGAGATGCAGTTTGACGGTAAACGTGCCAAATACCAAGATGATAAGAGATTCTCCAATGAGGTAGATTTACAAATAAGTCTACTACTTATTTGTATATATTGTGTGTGATCCCTGTGTGCTCTTACTACTGTCCTATATGTGCGATGCAACATCGAAATTTCCCCACTGTGGGACGAATAAAGGAATTCTTATCTTATCTTATTTCCATTCCGGGCTTCAAGTAGATATAGTGACTCTAAAATTGATCCACCAAATGGTTGAGGAATCCATTAGAGGGTTTAAATGAAACAGAAATGAGGGATTTATTGTCTTTGTGCCTCATGGCACTTTGTGCCATGAGGCACAAAGTGACGACGGTTTCCTTTCTGCATCGTCGGCAGTGAAGCCTGAAGCTGCTTCTTCTCTGGTAAAAGTGTCATTTACACCAGAGAATACCTGAGTTGTGGCTGTACTTTAGTTGACGAAAAAAAAGGGTTTTAATAGTGAAATCCATGTCTGTAGAAAAAAACAAATCTAATATTTAAAGAAAAGATAGTAGAGACAGGGAGCTGCAGGTATCATACTGTCAATTATCATTTTTCGCCACAAATGACAGGACATATATTCCAGATGTCAGTGTTTTAGAATAAAATTAAGAGATTCTTTATTCATCCCGCAGTGGGGAAATGTCAGGCCCTGTTTATACTGAGACGCTGCGCAGACGTTTCCAGGCTATTAACAGAAACGACCTGGCTCCTAATGCAAATTTCTCAGCGTTCACATGAGGTTGAAAAACGATGTAGTTCTAGCGCCCGGCCAGTAGTGGGCAGAGAAACTTTACAACACTCACACGACCCCCAGCCCCGTGCCCAGCCCCCCTCTCTGCAGTGTACTCACTTCCTGTGCCAGACCCTCAGAACGCACCAACATCATTCTGTATTTTAACAGCAGCTGTGAAAATGGAAACTGAACCTAGAGCTTCGCGTGGTCTCGTTTGGACGAACGAAGGAGTAGAATTATCCTCTGGGCCGCGCTGGAAGCCCACGAAGCTAGTTAGTGTGACCGCCGCCATTGTTGTTGATGTTTGTTCTCCGCTACTGCGCATGTCCAAATTTACGTGCGGGGAGCAGCGCGGAGGCGGGGGTCAGAGCAGAGGGGGATTTCACACCTATTCCCTCTCGCGGGTGTGAAAGAGCTCCCTGCTGTGCAGCGTTTCTGAGTTGTCCCACTTTGCAGGCTGGATCTGAACACTTACGTTTTCAGAAAAACCGACATCCAACTATACCGTTTTACTGCCACATTGTCTCCGTGTAAACTCAGCCTCAGTGTTGCATCACCAGTTACAGAACAGTAGGAATGAGAAGCACACAGCACAAGATAAATTAACAATAACTTCATACTAAAAATTAATTGAATTAAATCTCAAAATTTTGCATAATGAAGAAGGAAGTCTAAAATCTCCCACTTTAGCATAACAAAGAAGCAAAAACTAACTATAGAAAACATATGTACATATTCAGGCAAATGCAATAATAGCCTATGCAAACATTGAAGACGAGACCACGTAAAAACTGATATTAAAAAACTCAAACAAACACAAAATCTTACAAAAAGTAATGGCTTCGTTGCCCTTTACCCAGAGTTCTTCCTTTTACCCAGAGGCAGCGGTGCAGAACTGGGGATGCTCAGGGTAATTGATCTGGATTCGGCCCCTGCTCGCGCTACACAAACACCTCTACATTATTTTCTCACACCACTACCTCTGCTGCAGCCAGGCTTAACCCTGTATGTTGAGGTGGATCCTTCTGCCGTCTCTCCTCAGTGTTAGTAGTGGTTGT